CCCGCTGGTGAATCGGCATCTTAAGAAACATCTTATATGCCTTCTCGGCCTCGCGCTGGCACCACTTCCACCACTGGATCAAGTGCGGGCCAGCCGGGTTTATGGCCTGGTCGACAGAAATCCGCCAACTCAGAAGTCTACCTGCTCTGGAAGAAGAATCGCCCATCTCTAGCTTGGGAAACTCTGGCACGAACACCTGAATAGACTTCATCAACATATTCAGCTCCGCCGGGCTCAAAGACTGCGGGGGCGCATCCCCGTCAAGAAGCTCAGGTGGAGTCGGCGCCAGTCCTCCGAGTGCTCCCAGAGGCGGCGCTCCACAACTCGCGCTCTGCGGCTGCCGTGCAGATGGGCCCTCTGCCCCGGCTGCTGCGTGGCCCCCCAGGGACCGCGCGGGCTGTGCACCTCCCAGGAAAGAAAACACGTCACTGTCGTTAGTGTTCGGAGGAATCGTCTGTGGCGTAACGGCGACCAGCGAAAGTGGCTGCAAATATGGAGCAACGCTCCCGCTTACGAAATTCTCCTGGTTGACACTGACCTCCGTGCCGCGGGGGTTCACAGGCAGACGACTGGCCAACGCTCCGCTGCGCGATGCGCCTGCGCCTCGGGAGAGGATGCCCTGGTCGTCGGTGATACCCTGCTGAATCAGTCCTGGTGGTACTTGTTGTTCCTGCCCAGGAACATCGGGTCGTGGCCACAACCCTGGGTCCCCAGACGTCGTCGTAAGGTTCGCCTCCCTCCTGGGTAAGCTCGCCGTCGCGCAGCCGCCGTCCTGCAGCGGGAGCCTCGCCGTAGGTGCGGTGGATGGCTGCGGTGGCAGCTCCTGCGGCTGCCGGGCCCCCTGGCCCTCTGTAATGGCCAACAAGTCGTCGGCCACGTTTCCTGCCCCAAAAATCGGGCTCTGATCCCTCGCCGGCGCGTCGTACCCCTCGGCGCTCGGATCGGGATCGCTGCGCCGGCCTGCCGCGCTGCGCGGCGTGCCGCTGGCACTCAGCTGGTAGTACTCTGCTTGGTGTGGTGCGGTGTTGCTGTCGGGGAGCTCGTCCTGAACCTGAACAGACTGCCAGAAAGCCCATTCGAACTCTACCTGCTCTACTCTGCCACTGAGACGTTCGACCGACTCTTGAAGGTTCTTCACTGTAGTCGACAAGCCCTCCACCACCGACGTCAAACTCTGGATCGCGTCGCTGAGCTCGTTGCCGTACTGCGGAGCAGAAGCAGAAGCCCGGCCAAGCCCATCGGAAGGAAGCCCTCCCGACGAAACCTGGCCGGGGGCCCTATCGGAAGGCTTCCCTCCCGACCGGTCCCCAGGTCCATCGGAAGGAGGCCCTCCCGACGGATCCAGGCCAGGGGGCCTATCGGAAGGCTTCCCTCCCGACTGGTCCCCAGTCGTCGGTGCTGCGGTGCCGTCGTAGGCACTGTTGTAAGAGCTCGGCGGCGTGAGTTTCGTGGCGTCGTCTGCGGCCTTGTCGTCCAAGGTCTGTGCCTCGGTTGGTTCCTGCAGGGCTGGTAGTGGTTGAGCTGGCTCTGGCGCTGGCGCTTCCTGTCGGCGGTAGAACGAGCTTCCAGGGAAGCCCACGCAGTCTCCGGAGCGAAGGTGGCGGGCGTGGCCTAAGTTGGCCGTGTGGCACGCCAAGCAGTGGCCACCAGCGGCGCCGGCGGCGCGGTCGAAGGACTGGGCCCGCCTGGCGGCTCTCTTCGGCCTGAGAAGCTCGCGGCTGGTAAGCTGTCCAGAAGCAGTGGTTGGCTCTGCTGGCGGCTCGGGGGCTGGCAAAGCCAGTGGCTCTGAAGAAGTAGCTCCTTCCCTAACCCCTTGCACTACTCCACGCACCAGCGAAAGCGCTGCACCAGTAGCGGTCGCCGCTGCACCTCCGATTGCCACTCCTACAGAAGCTGACAGACCAAGTGCTTCTGTGGCCCGCCCTCGCCAGGTAGTAAGTTGCTCAGCCAGAGAACGTGTCCACTGTTCCCGTCGTAGACCATTTTCATACGAAGCGTACTGTTGTGTGACTCCGGCCATACATGTACCACAGAACGGGTACCCCTGGAAGTACTCGAGGTTGATACATTGTGGGTGGCCGAACACGCCGCACTGCGTGCACAGCGCAGGTTCGTACACTTGTACATGGCATCGTTGACAGCTCGCGTGTACACCAACCAATAATCCTTCATTCGGCGTTGGGCTCATAACCCTTGTCACTGCTACTAGGGGTAAATTTTCTGACATGACGATCGCAGTGGAACGAATAGAAGGATGAAAGGCGAGTACCTTTTCCAGTCAGTGTGCGCTCGGCTTGGCTTGAGCCAGAGCGGTTGCAGTAGCAGCTGGCGCGCGCGTGCCAGACGTAGCTGGATTGCCAACCGGCGATAGACAATATGTTATTACATTGACTAAAAAAGGTAGCTGCGGACAGCACAAATGCATGCATCATCGATAGATCGGCGATGGCTTTGGCAATAAAGTCTACAAACAGTTCTGCTTGTGTGACACGCTATTCACATGGCTTGGGTCCTGGAGCCGATCGAAAGGAAGCCCTCCCGACAGGTCTCCGGACGTCTACACCCCGTGAAGGGGTCGAGAGCCCAGGGAAAGAAGAAACGACCCAAGCAGGGACGGGGTCGAGAGCTCCCGGGGCGTCGCGCCTCCAGCGCGCGTATGCCGAAACAGTTTATCAGAACTATAATACACACCATGCCTCAAGATGCTATGCACATGATTCTGCATTGCTAATCTGCTCACTGATCCGGGTGCGACGCGCATGACCACTCGGAAACGTGGGGTTCAAAGGATTCACGTGCTCCTCCCCCGCTTCCGCCTCCGCCTCCTCCTCCTCCTCCTCCTCCTCCTCCTCCTCTTCCTCCTCCTCCTATTCTTCATCCTCCTCCTTTTCCTCCTCCTCCTCCTCCTTCTCCTCCATATTTTCCCTGACCTCCTCCTCATCATTCTCCTCCTCCTCCTCCTCCTCCTCCTCCAACTCCTCCTCCTTCCCCCTGTCCTCCTCCCCCGCCTCCGCCTCCGCCTCCGCCGCCGCCGCCTCCTCTTCCACCTCCTCCTCCTCCTCCTCCTCCTCCTCCTCCTCCTCCTCCTCCTCCTCCTGCTCCACCTCCTCTCTGTATATCCTCGCTGCCCTCGCGCCCGCGATGGCGCACGACTGCCCGTCGGTCGGACAAAAATAAGTGAACGCATGAAGTAGGAAGGCGGATCAAGTAGATCGGATTCAGGCCCTCCAAAATAATAACACAACACAGCCACAGCAGATCGGCTCTTGAAATGAGAACGCGCTTGAAGTAGATTGGGATCTGGGAATCCAGAAATACCACTTTCAACGACCGGCGTGCACTCCTCCTCCTCCTCATCCTCCTCCTCCTCCAGCTCCTGCTGACTGCGTACCGTTTCGGAGCTTGCGCTCGCCGCTGTCAGTGGTCCGATGCACGAGTCACCGTCCACAGCTGTACGCGCTGCTCGGTGCGCATGAGCCTTCGTACAGACTGCCCGCAGCATGTAGTTCAACTGGCCCTCGGATAATCTCTCCTGCGAGTCGTACTGTGGTATACCTCCTCCCCACCCCTCTTAACTCCTGCGAACAGCTAGCAAGCCCTCGTCCCTTCCCCTCTCCTCGTCCACCCCTTCCTCATGCTGATCCTCCCCTCCTCCTCCGCTGCCCACCCCGCTCCCCTCCTCCCCTGAGATCCGACGCTACGAACACATACAAACAACCTCGTGAACAAAACACGGCTGGAGCCTTAGACCCCACATTTCAGTTGCATTGCTCGAACTGGATCGGTCCATGATGCTCCCGTGTCACGAAGCTGGGCGAACATCATGTCCGCAGAGAAAAACGATGCAACGCCCGGATCTCAGGGTCCCACTTCCCTCCCCCCCAACCCCCCTTCCCTCCCCCCCAACCCTCCCACTGTTTTCCACCACTACACAACATTAATACTACTCTTCTCTCTCCGCTTATTCTGCCCGGAGTGGATCCCGTCCTCTTCGCGTATTTGTTTCAACGCAGGATGTCATTAGTTTTTGTTTGCACAGGTTGTTGTTCAATCCCGTCGTCTCTGGTTCGTCCAAACTGGTGCTCCCGCTGCAGCGCCGCCCTCGTTCCCACGCCTCCTGACGGTTCTTGGCTGGCATTCGAAAGCGCCCACATCGGGCAAGCACGGTTGCGGAGGACATGGAGACGGCATTCCGGACAGGCCCTGTCCCCTCGTAGACGGGCCACTTGCCCTCCAAGGCATCCCGTGCCATGCCACGGCATGCAATGCGATGCTGTGTTGTGCACCGCTTTGCGATGCCATGATTTGCGTTGCTATGATTTGTGATACAATGCTTCAATACGCAATGCCACGCCATGCTATGACATGCTATGCTCTGCGGTGCTCTTCTACGCCATGCTTTTCCATCCGTCCCGTACACTTTTGGGATCATTGCCCTGCTCGACGTCCAACTGTGCGAAAAGACAAGGGATCTACGCCATGGTAAGGGCTGGGAGGGAGGGGTAGACGTCAGATGCGACGCTAGCGCGACTAGCTCGCCACTTGCCTTCTAGGTCCTGCGTGTCCTCCTACAGGCGGATTTTGGACCAAAAATAAAACATTGCCAAACACTAACCGAAACATCCCAAATACTTGCTGTTATTTTTTAAGAAACATCCTCATGCGATTGTTTTAAACCATTTGAGCATTCCTCCTGTGGAGGCACAGCCTCGACCTCATCCTTGCCCCCATCCCCCCCTTTCAGCCCTCCCCCCCCAGCTATGCCCGACTCCCCTCCCCTGCTTTGCCCCCGGGGCTGGACCTACACGTTGTGCTTCGTTCCGTTGTTGCTCTGCTTTCCGCTTTGCTCGACCTGTCTTCCCGGACCTCCTTGCCAGAACGAAACAAAAACGCACCCCGCCGAAGTCCAGCAGCACGGCCATGAGGCCCAACCCTGCTCTGCCACCCTCCCACCGCGAGGGGGGGGGGGGGCACGCGGTGCGGGGTGTGCACGGGAGAGC